GCTAACACAGAGCTAATGCTAATGTTAACAAGAGCTAATGCTCATGCTAACACAGAGCTAATGCTAATGTTAACAAGAGCTAATGCTCATGCTAACATAGAGCTAACCCTAGCACATAACTAATGTTAATGTTAACAGAGCTAACACTAATACTAACACAGAGCTAATGCTAATGTTAACATAGACTAAAACTAACACATAGCTAATGTTAATGTTAACAAGAGCTAATGCTCACGCTAACACAGAGCTAATGTTAACCAGAGCTAATGCTCACGCTAACACAGAGCTAATACTAATGTTAACATAGACTAATACTAACACATAACTAATGTTAATGTTAACAAAAACTAATGCTCACGCTAACACAGAGCTAATGTTAACTAGAACTAATGCTTATGCTAACACAGAGCTAATGCTAATGTTAACAAGAGCTAATGCTCATGCTAACATAGAGCTAACCCTAGCACATAGATAATGTTAATGTTAACCAGAGCTGATGTTCATGCTAACACAGAGTTAATGTTAACTTGAATTAATGCTAATGCTAACACTGAGCCAATTCTAACGTTAACTAGTGCTACTGCTAATGCTAACACATAACTAATGCTAATATTAACAAGAGCTAATGCTCATGMTAACATAGCGCTAACCCTAGCACATAGATAATGTTAATGTTAACCAGAGCTAATGTTCATGCTAACACAGAGTTAATGTTAACTAGAATTAATGCTAATGCTAACACTGAGCCAATTCTAATGTTAACCAGTGCTACTGCTAATGCTAACACATTCATTCACCTGAAAMACCGTCATAAACTTGAGTACAGCCAGTAAAGCCAAAAGATGTGGACCGAGGCAACATCAGCTACAACAACTCTCCACTGAACGATGGAAACAGACGGCTGAGAATCCACAGTGTTCAATCATCTGTCGCTAACAAGCAGCACAGTCAGAGCTGGAAGGAGCTAACCTGGTTGTWAATGTAAAGATGTTAAACGCCAAAAATTAATGTGATGTCATCACCTAACCCTACAGTAAACCAGGATTAAGAGTTTTAGCTAAAATGCAGGTTTTCTCTTTGACTTTTGGTTTTTAATCGGTTTTTATGCCCTGAACTAAAAATATTTCAAAACTACYTGATTTAGACTCAAACTGAATATTTAACCATCGTTTTAGCCACAACTCAAGGTTTTTCACTTCAAAATCAGTCAAATATTTTTCTCTCGTTCTTTCTTGCAGCTCGTTTTGTGTGTCTAGACCAAATATTGAATTGTCCCATAAAGCAGTAAAAAGTGAYGATAAATAATCAGGTCATTCTCAGCTGGAGAGTAAAACTTTCTGATGGACGGCGCCGTCAGGACTGCTTTGACCCAATAACACACGGCTGCTATCGACCGCTGCAAATGAAAACTTTACATGCAGCTAAGTGAACGTGACAAAGAGCAACAAAGAGCCGGAGCCATCKCTCTGACCAGCCAACATTTTCCAATGTGTGTTGGTTTTTTTAACATCCAGTCAATTTCGAACAAAAAAAACAGCCTTAACTTTAAGTGAAAAAGTAGAATCAATAAAAAGATAAATAAATAATAAAGAGAAACAGCTGCTTTGTCTCCAACAATCCAAACATCATTCAGGACTTTTTATGCTCGACGTTTTTAAAGCTAAAAGAAAAAAATTAGAAACAAAAGATTTTTTTTCCACATCTCTGACTCCCTGAACAGCCTCTTCATGTCTGAAGACATCCTGGGGCTTCTTCCACAGACGCTCCTGATCAATAAACATCCAATGTGCTGCGCAGAAAACAAAACACCTGGAACATCCCTCTCTGCAGCCGCTCACTCCAGAGAACAACAAACAACCAGATGTTTAAATCACAACAGAGAAAAAAGTTTGYTTTATTCCCCCGGTTCCATCAGTCGTAACCTGTTACAGAGGCTGGGTGAGCCGCAAAGCCTGCTGGGTAACRTTGGGTCGAAGACATGGAAAGTTTTAACCTGGGTGGAACCTGGATGGACCTTCATGTTCTGGGGCCCTCTTCAACATATGTCAGAACGAGGAGCCCCCTACTAGTGGGGACCAACTTTTTTCAACGGGAGTCTGGGTGTGAAATTATGTCTCTTAGTCAATTTTCATTTCATTTGCACTCTTTGGTCCCTGAGCCAGGAGTAAACTGGCACTTTCCTGGCAGGGTGGACACTCTGTGGTGACCTTTGGTGTCTTTTTGTCACCACTTTACGTAGCAAGGTCACACTGACCCGGGAGAGGCCTTGTTGTGCTTGGGGAGATGCCATGGAAAACATATTAAAGGTCACCACTCTAATATGATTAGAAATCTTTTGACCTCTTGCTGATCCACTAAACTTTACACATGGGTTCTGGGCTGTGTCCTGACTGCATCCAGTGATTTTGGGGTCTCTACGTGGTCTGATATATGATCCTGCCCATGATGTACCACTTTATGACCAGTTAATGGAAAAAGTTGGCACACAGTGGTACTGTATGGGCACATGTACACTTTGGCTACAATCATGTGTTGGAAGAATAGACTGGTACTGTATGGGCACAGACACTACCTTTGCATTGGTCATAGACTGGCATTCTATGGGTATGTACCAGGGAGGCTCAGAAGTGTGATTCCCCTATAGTTAGAACACATTCTGCGGTCCCCCTTTTTAAATTTATTCGATAAATAAAATGTAGTTTGTTTACCAAGTCTCTGGTAAATAAAGTGTAGTTTGTTTACCAAGTCTCTGGTAAATAAAGTGTAGATTGTTTACCAAGTCCTTAGTAAATAAAGGGTAGTTTGTTTACCAAGTCCTTGGTAAACAAAGGGTAGTTTGTTTACAAAGTCTCTGGTAAATAACAAGTAGTTTGTTTATCAAATCTTTGGTAAATACAGTGTAGTTTGTTTACCAAGTCCTTGGTGAATAAAGTGTAGTTTGTTTATCAAATCTTTGGTAAATACAGTGTAGTTTGTTTACCAAGTCTTTGGTAAATAAAGTGAAGTTTTGTGACCTCTGAACACGACAGTGTTTAGTTTGAATCGGTGTGATCTGAACTCTGAACAGTTCTGGTGAAGTGTGAACTTCTGGGTGACAGTTGGCCTCCCTGAAGGCCAGAAACGTTCCCGACTCGCATCAAGTGAACGCGCTGCAGAAAATAACTTCAGGCAGAGCTCTGCTCGTTTTGGCGTCCCTGCTAACGAGACCCTTACAGCTTCTGAAGGTAACGTGTGCCAAATCTGTAAAGTTCTGTGGAAYAAAGGACCTCCGGCCCTGTTATTTTTATTTTTTAGTATTTCTCAGTTTATCCTCTCCTTCTCACTGAAGGACAAGCGTTTGTGCTCGTGTGACTTGTCGGCACACAGCTGTCACACCCGATCCAGAGCTGAGCTGAGCCGAGGGTTAAATATGTTCTGCAGGAGAAAACCCAGAGCTGAAGCAAAGGTTACATCGACGGCAGACAGAGCCATAAAGGAGAGTTTCACGGCACAGCCTGAGGGGTTTGAACGCTGGGATGAAACAGTTGGGGGAGGGGGGTAGAACTGACAGGGTGGAGGAGGGGGTGTGAAATACCCACCAGGGTTCACATCAGAGGAGTCTGTCTGTGTTTCTGGGTCCGAGTCGAGGAGGAAATATGTTTCTGCGGTGATGGAGGAGGAGTTATTGATCCTGAAGTAAATCCTGTTAACAGATGAAACGTCTCTTTGAGGAGACGTCTCGTCTCTGAGGGGGACGGAGACACCTTCTCAAAGAGGAGTTAGTTTCTCTTTGTTTTCCTGGTGAACTCATTTTGTTATTTTCTGTGTTTGATTTGTTTCTGCACCTGACCRACCAGACTTTTTTAAAATACTGAATCACTTTAATGGCAGAAGGGTTGACCTCACAGAGATTATGAAGAAGTTCCACGTCTCTGTCCCCAAACCAGACAAATAAAACAAAAATTTTGTTAAATCTTTTATTCAATAATCATCAGACTCCATATTTACAGCTGTGATAAGAAAAACAAACATCTGAAGCAGGATGATTGGTAAACTCGTCAACTTTAGTCTGCAGTTTGATTTTAAAATTCTTAAAAGTTTGATAAGAAACTGAACATTTGAGAGAAAAACTAAAAATATATAAGTAAAGATGGTATGTTGTTTCTGAGATCAAACCTAAATAGATAAATGTGGAGAAAATAAATAAATCCAGCTGAACTTAACTGTTGACTTTTGAACATCAGGCTGATTGATTGACAGGACAGATGATCAGAGGAACTGAGTTTTTACCTCCATCATTAGGGTAAGGACGGAAGACTGGGTAGAGTGGTTCAGTGAAGCAGCAGCCAGTGAAGGAGTAGATCAGAGCTGCAGCATCAACATCATAAAAGGAGACCAGACCCTCCTGATAATCCACAAACACCCCCACCTTCTCAGGACCAGGATCAAGACTGAGAGGGACTGGAGGATCAGCAGAAGCTGAGTACAGATTTCTATTTATCAGCTGAAGAGTCCAGAAACCATTTTGAGGATTCCAAGATATAATTCCCTTCCTCTTGATGGACTTTTTGACCACTCCTAACTCCCACTCAGTTTTTCCTTTAACCTGAACCTGAAAGTAAAATCTGCCTGAAGAGAAACTCTGATTTGATAAAACAGAAACCCAGTTAGTAAATCTCTCTGGATTGTCTGGAAGTTTCTTCTTCACATCTCCCTGGTGAACTTGTTTTCCATCATCAGACAGGATGAGGTAAGGATGAGCAGTTTTAGGATCCAGAGTCAGATCCACGTCAAACTTCTGGACTCTCTTCAGCTCAGCCTCAAACATCATCTTCTTCATCTTCTCCCTGATCTCCCTGACCTCCTCCTCCAGCTGAAGCACAGTTCTCACCACAGTCCCCTCATATGATGGAGGATCAACTCTGACCTGGGTCCAGTTCTTGGT